AAGCCTTAGATTCTAATGCCCAAGCAAAAAAAAACAAACAAACAAAAAAAAAAAAACAGGCAATATAATCTCAGAACCATTTCTACTTAAACGAGAGTCCCGTCAAGGATGCCCTCTATTACCAATTCTGTTTGCATTGTCCTTAGAACCCCTAGCACATAGAATTAGGCAGGACCACTTAATTTCACCTATAATAATAAATAATACGCAACATAAAATATCACAATATGCAGATGATATACTTCTTTCTATTTTCAGATATCCCTCAATCTTTCAGTTATTCCCTCAAATTTATTTGGAATCGTAAAAACCCACAAATTCGATTGAAGACTTTGCAATATCCTAAATCTTTGGGTGGTTTGTCACTTGCAGATTTCAATTTATATTATCTTTCTTTTCTAATTAAAACCCTAAGTATATGGATAAATTCCCAGACTCCACAATAGAAGAAGTGCTAGTAATACCTCATAGGTTACAAGGAACATTTTCTAAGGAAAATGGCCTTATAATTGCTAACTCATTGTAAATATGGCATCTGGCAGAAAATCAGATAAGTTTTCATTCCAAACCCTGCACGCAATCTCCTATTTTATTTATCTGTTAGAATTATATTTTGCTGAAAAGAACAAAGCCTTTCAGATACACACCATGGGCAGATAAAGGTATTCACATATTGGGAGATATACACTATATGATGATAAGAATCTTAAGGCATTGCAAAATCTTAAAACATTTCTATGACCTTCCTGGATTCTCATGGTTTTTGTATTTGCAGCTTCGATTGCAGCTTATGGAGTCCCATAGGACAGTAACATCACACCCCATGGTAGGTTGTATCGACCAACATACAAATTGGTATGGTTTCTATAATTTATAACTCTTTAGTCAATGCCACATATAGTACCATTGGAATTACTGAGGTATGGAATCATGAAATGGAGAAAGCAGGTTTTGACTGGACCAGGACACAATTGGGGCAAACACCACTGCAACTTCAAGGAACCCAGCCCATCAAATGATAAATAATAAATTGATCCTTAGAATATATTGCATGCCTCTAAGATGATATAAAATAAAGCTTATCCCCACACCCATATGTGATAGATGTCATAATGGAGAAGTGGGCACCTACATGCATATATTTTGGGAATGTCCAGTTATTTCCAGTTTTTGGATTCAAGTCTCTAAAGATTTAACACATATATTGTGCTTACTAGTGGATGCCAACTCATCTTTATTTCTCCTCAATGATCACTTTACAGTTCCCTTACAATTATACCAAAGAAAGGTTCCATTTTCTTGGTTAACAGCGGCAAAGAAAGCTAAAGTTTGCTCATGGTTCCCACCTAAAAGTCTGTCAAAACATCTGTGGTTATCCTATTTAATAGATATCGCCATCTTGAACAAACCACTGCTTTAATTAACAAGGCTAAAATCACAACAATTTAAACTTGGGATCAGACATGCAAAACCATAATTGATCTTCTTAAACATTAATCAATATAGATGGAGAATCTGACTGATTGTATGTATAGGTAACCTATTACTACATGTATAGAAAGTGTGACTGGTAGCAGCATTATTTATCTCCCAACAGATTGTACATAGGTTAGACTATTATTATCTTTTTCTCTCTGTTATTTTCATCTGCTTTTATTTTGGCACACACACATATGTATATATACTGTATGTCTACACTTGATTTTGGTTTATAAAGTTAAATAAAATGTTGATCACAAAAAAATATAGTTCTCTGAATGATAAAATATATACAGTATTACAAAGGCATAAAAATATAAACAAAGTAACTGGGAACAGTAGTAAACATTTTCACTTGACGTACCCAAAAAGCACTCACGTATTAACCATGACAGTTTGCTTCAATATCAATTTGTATTGCACTGAAAATGGTGAATGCAGTCTATTTAGTAGGATAAAATTCTGGATTTGCTGGACTTTGCCAGTATCCTGAGGTGCTTGGCCACTCTGGTCTATGTTGGTGAGCAGCAGGTGAAGAATCCATAGTGGTATATGGTGGATGATAGAAGGGTGATAAAGATGGGTTGAATCCTGATGCTGATGGATTTGAGTTTGGAAATATGTCTGTATAGGAAGGTGGTGGTTCTACTGGATTGGCTGGCTGAGTGTATACACTTGGGTATAGATTTGGAGCTGGTCCAAAAGCAGTAGCAGCAGGAACATGGGGGAGGGGAACAAGTGCTGGTTGGAATGTAGAACCCATCCGTATTGGTTCACGTGTGTTCTGACTGACGTGGGAATCTACTTGGGTTTGCTGTGGAATGCAGTACTGGCCTGCTGGGATAATGACCACTGGAAATATAATCTCTGGATCTCTAGCGTAGGGAACATCCACATACACCTTAAAAATGAGAAAAATGCATGAAAACTGCATGAAATTGGAAAATTTAGAAAAATCAAGTAAAACGTAAAGCATCATTACCTTGAGAGTGTACTCCACTTTAATAATGTTACAGTCTGTGATGGTTGGGTCCAAGTTAGAAGGGATCTTCAGCCTACTGGCGAACGTTTTTTTGGCTCTGGATGGAATGGGATCTTCCACAGCTTTGAAAATTACTTTTGTTGCATAGTTCTTTCGAGATTGGGCGAAGAACGTCTGTTTTTGTTCAAGTTTAAATTTGAGCCTGAGAGCACGAGATGAAGAGTTTTCAATATAGCTTTCAACCTTGATTTTCTCACCTGGAAAAAAAATTAAGAATTGAGAAATACTAGATAACAAAAGTTAATATGTTGGGTTTTAACAGCTTAAATTATCTCTTGCCTATAGCTGAGGACATGCATTGTGGAAATTACCTTGCATGTAGCCCTCTTTGTCAGTAGATGCTCTGACTGAGACACTTCCAGAGGTGAAAAGTTTCATCTTTTTGTCTATGGACCCAGAAAGTGGTCTCTATGTATAGAATGATAAGAAATTTGTATTTAAAGGCAGTACATGGAACAGTGCAGTCTGTTTTGATAGCCTGTTATTTGTATTTTAGTTCATTCATTCATTCATTCATTCATTCGTGGTCTCACAGCCTTTACCGGTAATATTGGGTGTGAGGTGGGAATACATCTGGGGCAATTTAGAGGGAGGAAACCAGAAAACCCAGATAAAACCCACAGAAGCACACTGGGAGAACATGCAAAATTCCACACAGAGTGTACTGTACTGCCCTGCTTTGGTTCAATATAATGTCATTACTCATTAAACAACATGAGCACATACCAGTAAATGAGCACCGTTTCCATGAACGTTTGACACAAAGGTGAATTCCTTCATTACAGTTTGAGGGAGCTTCCATGATCTACTCAGTCTGGCCTGAAGAACATATGTAATTGATCCGTGGGATCCTTTAAAAGATGATGGTGTGTTCCTAAAAAAGAAATCAACTTCCTTAATGTCTACAAATCATTAATCTCTGCATTTTACATTTTCTAAGTGAAGTGGCATACTACTGTTGAATCACTGATTACCATTCTTTGAAAAACATGGCTCTCTGGACCCTATGTTGATCTACGTTGAATAGTACAGTTACTTGTTTTCAAAATCCATTTTGTTTCAAGCTCATCAACTTATCTGTCAATGCAAATTTTATTTATATGTAGCCACATTCATGGCCATATTTGCGGAATATCACTTTGTATGCCACTACGAGTGAAAGGTTTCTGGTTTTACACGTTTGAGGGAGACTCAAATATCCCTCACAGACTAGCCAATGTACAAAATTCATGCTGGACTAGACTAAGTTTATATATACAGTATATACTGTGTATCCACTGACATTGTGCTATGGGTCTAGAACATTTTTTTTTCTATTAAAGTGAGCATGTAGAGTCAAGCAATAAAATCTGTTAACAGCTAACTGCATTTTATATTATCAAAAATTATATATAATATATAATTTCCATTATCTCCAGAATTATTTACCCATGAGGAAGCCGAAATGAAAACGGAAAGGTATGGTATCCTGGCGTAACCAAATTCTTGTCTGTAAATTCAAACCACAGAGAAATTAAGATTGTCAGTTTGAGGTAACTGAACATCATAAACTACTAAAATACAATATAATGTATAAATTAAAATAATTTATGCATTAAACAAATATTTAAGTCATATATTAACGCTGCTGTACTTGCAAAAGAACATACTTTATTATGAGCATTCTATAGCTTACATATTTTTACCATTACCATTTACTGTTACCATTTACGGTACCCCAGAAACTCTGAGTGCAAAAAAATTTATAAATAAAATAATAGAATACACTTACATGTCTCCCCATTTGTCACAAGTGTGGCGTCATTTTGTCCTGTAAAGACAACATACTGAAAATTGAGCAACAGTTGTGACCTCATCTCATTTATTCTTATTTACTGATTACATTTGTTGATCATATTAGCCATAA